AGTGCAAGTACGGAGCTCCTTACTTCTCCGCCATCTTGCCCTCTCTCCTATTTTAATAATTCTTAAACATGCAAGCAAAAATATTTTTCTTAAAAAAATTAAAACATTGAAAATATACAACATTGCATTGTAGATTTTAAAAATTACATAAGTTATATGCACTATGCGTATTTTTGAAGCCTGCTGTTTTCATGTTTTTAGAGATATTCATAAGGAGATATAAATAACATGTAGGTCCTTCCCATTCTTTCAAACAACTGCATGATATTCTAAAGTGTGGATAAGTTCTTGTTTAGCTGTTTTATGTATTCATTCATAGATAGATAGATAGATTTCACATCCTCTAGTTCATGAATCATGTTTATGTTTAATGTTCATCTTTTCTAGAGCACTTACTATTCACAGAGACAATTGTGGCTGTAGCTGCCGATGACAATTACAACAACTGAACAAAATGTAAATTATTCTGCAAAAACCCCTGCATTTCCTTTTCATGACTTGAGGGCAGAGGGCAGTAGTTTGATGTATCTTCTATGTAAATATGGTGAATTCTGGGTTGCAGTATTTTGTTACTATCAATTCTGGTGGGTTACATAGGGGAACTTCTTTGGTGGTGGTTAGGACTGGGCTTTTTCCTTCTCCTTACCTCCATAATCTCACCTTAAAATGTCTACCAGACATTGCCTTCCACAAGGCAAGCAACCTTTTATCTACTGGTTTGCTGGCCTGGAACTCCCAGTTTATGGGGTGGACAAACATAAAGAGATAAATTATCTGGCAAGTGTCATGATAGCAATAATGACAACTTGTGGAGACATGCCAGATTATGTAATCGGCCCCTTGTGGAGTTTATTTATTTGTTTACTTGACAATTATCTGCGTATTTACTGTGTGTTAGGCTATGGGTGTTAACGATTGAGAAAACAAACACGATCCCTACTCAGGAGCATTCAGTGTTGGGAACCTGGAAAGAATTTGAGCGAGAACTGCTGCTGTTGGTGGATCATGAGGAATGCATACAAGTGTGGCAAGTAAAGTGGAAGGAACACATTTAAACAGAGGGATTCAAATGTGCACAAGTACAAAGCTGTGGAAGGCTCTAGTCCACCCAGGAATTATGAGATATTCTCTGTGTTGTATAAGACATATGAATGGAAGTGGCACATATAGAGACTGAAAAGGGAGATTGGGGCCAGACATGAGTGCCAAATTAAGGAATTTAGATGTTTTTTCCCCTTAAGCCTTTCCTGAGCCAATTAGTATTTTTTAGATGACAACTGTAATCTAAAACACTGATTTTGTACCTTGATTTAAAAATACTTAAGTGACTAATTTGATTCATTATATTAACCTGTTTGTCTACTAAGACTGTAATTGATGTATTATAGCGGTTTTGTGTGTGTGTGTGTGTGTGTGTAATCTTGGGTTTTTCTTTGTTTCAGCCTTTACTCTACGGAAAGAAAATCTGGAAATGTTTGAAGCAGTTGGTTTCTTAGCTATGAAACTTGGTGTGTTTCCTTCAGATTTCAGTTATGCAGGCCTTAAAGACAAGAAAGCTGTCACCTATCAAGCAATGGTTGTTAGAAAAGTGACTCCAGAGAGGTAATATGACATTACTTTATAAGAGAGTACTTTACTTTCTTGTTGCATCAAATAAATAAATGTAAGATTTAAAAAACAAGAACACTAGGAACATATTAACCTCACTATCAATAGTAATTAATTGATTGAAGGCTTACTGAGCAGCACATTCTGCCTTAATAATAGAGTTATCATCTAAATAGCATTATGTCTTAAATTTATACTGAAGGGGCACCTGGGTGGTTCAGTTGGTTAAATGTCCAACTTTGGCTCAGGTCGTGATCTCCTGGTTTGTGGGTTCGAGCCCCATGTCAGACTCTGTGCTGACAGCTCAGAGCCTGGAGCCTGCTTCAGATTCTGTGTCTTTCTCTCTCACTGTTCCTCCCCTGCTCATGCTCTATCTCTCTCAAAAATAAATAAACATTACATTGACACTGAAAATGTAGGTTTTAAGGCAGGAACTTTGAAAAGTGGCAGATTTTACATGATTTGAATTGTTTCTAAACTATATTTTGAGACACCTGGCTGGCTTAGTCAGTATAGCCTGTGACTCTTGATCTCAGGGTTGTGAGTTCAAGCCCCATGTTAGGTATAGAGATTACTTAAAACTAAAAGATTTTTTTAAAAAATCCTGTACCATATTTGAATATGCGTGTATATTCAGGACAGTGTCTTACAAATGCCACCTGGAGCCTGCTTCAAGTTCTGGGTTTCCCTCTCTCTCTCTCTGTCCCTCCCTGATTCATGCTCTGTCTCTGTGTCTCTCTCTCAAAAATAAATAAACATTAAAAAAAAATTTTTTTTAAAGTACAGTAGAGTAAGAGAGAAGGATTTTAGCTTTCAAAGGTATTTAGATGTTAGAAACTGGTTTCCAACTACTAAATACAACAATCTTATTAATTCCGAGGAGGAAAGAGTACTTTGATTTGGCTAATGGGTATGGGATTTCTTAGCTATGAAACTTGGTGTGTTTCCTTCAGATTTCAGTTATGCAGGCCTTAAAGACAAGAAAGCTGTCACCTATCAAGCAATGGTTGTTAGAAAAGTGACTCCAGAGAGGTAATATGACATTATAAGAGAGTAAGTTAACTATCTCCCTAATAAAACAGATAGTTCCTATAAGGATGACAGTAAATATGGATGTAAAGAAAAAATTGGTTTCTTACAGGATCTTTAAAGGTATGCTAATAATTGGAATCTGTTCATTTAGACTTTGGGGAAGAATTGAAAATTCGAGTAAGAAAGTGTTCAGAGCATGGGCCCCTGGGTGGCTTATTTGGTTGAGCATCTGATTTCGGCTCAGGTCATGATCTCACAGTTTGTTGGTTTGAGCCCCATATTGGGCTGTGTGCTGATAGTTCAGAGCCTGGAACCTGCTTTAGATTTTGTATTTACCTCTCTCTTTGCATCTCTCTCTCTCTCTCTCTCTCAAAAATAAATAAATATTAAAGAAAAAAGTGTTCAGAGTAGAATTTTAGTAAAATCCTCTGGTGCTACTGGTTTTTCTTGGTAATGTTGGAGGAAGAGAGACTGAGGAGGAAAGGAACAAAGTCTGAGAGGAAGACTAGAACAGTTAAGAGATTTTATCAGTTAAACTAAGGAGAAGTCAGAAGGCCTGCACAGGATAACATTAGGAGTATATATTTCAGGTCATAAAATAACTGTTAATATAATCCTATAATTATGGTTTTTTTAATGCAGATTCATTGAAATAACATTAACTTTTGAGTTCCAAAAAAATTTTAGATGTTCTGATATACGTGTTTGTCTGGCAACTCATCTAAACCTTATGTTAATTTTTAAATGTAAGATTTAACTGAACCTATATGATTTATCGTTTATAGGTTGAAAAATATTGAACAAGAAATTGAAAAGAAAAGAATGAATGTGTTTAATATTAGATCTGTAGATGATTCCCTTAGACTTGGTCAGCTCAAAGGAAATCACTTTGATATTATCATCAGAAATTTAAAAAACCAAATAAATGACTCTGCAAACCTGAAAGACAGAGTTTTGGAGGCAATAGAAAATGTTAAGGTAAGAAAACTCAGAAATAAAATAATGTTTAAAAAAGTTTAAAATAGTGTTTATAGTGCTTCTCTTTATACTGAGGCAAGAAGGAAAGCTTTTTCTTTTGTACCTTTCTTTATGTGTATATGTAATTGTTTAAAAAATGATAATTGGGGCCATTTAGCTTATTTTTAATTTTCTTGTTAGTATATACTTTTGTATTAAAAAACAGCTTTAATGTGATTTTTAAAAATATAATATATAGAGAATTATCCAGAGTATATGTGGAGGAGTTATCTGTATAAGAACAGAGGTGTTTTTTGTTGTTATTTGTATGTTCTTTTAGCACATGCCATTTACAGTAGTATTTAAGGCAAAAGGATTAATTCTTTTGGAAATTTTGTTCAGTAATTTTTTTTCCAGAAATCTTTGGTAAATAGTTACATTACTTATTAGAATTATATAGTCTTTTTTCTTTTTAGTCTAATTATGAATTTTTTTCAATATATACAAATGGTAAATTGCATACATTTTATTGTGTCTTACAGTAAAAAAAACTACTTAACATAAATATATAAGTGACATTTGCCACGCATCTAAATATGCCATAACCTTCAGTCTGATCATCTAGACTGTGGGTTAGCAAACTTTCTCCATAGAAGGCCAGGTAATAAATATTTCTGGCTTTGTAGGCATGTGGTCTCTTTTGCAGCCACTCTACTGCCATTGTGCTGAAGCAGCTGTAGATCATAGATAAATGAATGAGCATGGTTGTGTTTCAGTAAAACTTTATTTACAAAAATAGGTGTAGGGCCACATTTGACTTGTAGGCTGTTAGTAGATTGACAAGTTCTGATCTAGACCAGTGATCCTCAACCTGGGATGCTTGTAGGCAATATCAATAGTTAATCCGTACTCCCAAACCAATTAAATAAGAACATTTGGGAATGCAGCTTAGTTTATTAATATTTTTTTTAAAAGCTCCCTAGCTGATTTTACTCTACAGCTAAACACTAAGATCCTGACCACAAAGACCTTTTTACACAATTTTATTCCTCTCCAAAAGAAAACAAACAACAACCTGGTTTTTAATCAATGATTATAGGCAGGAAAATGGCTTCCAATAAAAATTTTTTAAATTCAGCACATTTACCTGTGTATAGAAACTCTTTGATTGTATACTCCTTGTTTTTTCCCTTTCTTCTGTATCTAAAATTCTTTTCTCTCTCCCAAAAACCTGTTATTAAAATGGTAGCCCTAAAAAGGGGGAGAGTTTCTCTGAACTCTGATAGCATTTATTGCCTGTCTTTCATTTGGGACTTATGGATATACAACTGCTAGTTGTAAAATCCCCATTAGAAATGGTTTTAGTGTTAGCCAACTTTCCTTTAGTGCTGAAAATAAGAAGTCTTTGAAGTTTTGTTTTAGAGGGTTATAACTTTGACCACTAGGAACCTTTTCTTATATCCAACCCTAAGTAATTTCTAGGGGTATTTAAAACTCTTATAGTTATTTTAGGATATTATTTGATATTATTTTCCAAATTTGAAATAATAATTGTTGAATGAATAAATATGATCTCATCAAGTGAGTGTAGAAGACTCTTATCTTTCAAGAAACCATCTGGACTTGGTGTTTTCTTTGTGAGAGCATGTTTAACCACTGACTATTATTGTCTCTAAGGTTGCAGAGTAATTTATAATTTTCTGTTCTTGGGGAAGTGATGACATGTCATTGTCTTGACCCAGGTCTTCAGAAACTGACATAATTAAAAAATGAACTGCTCTAGATAAAGGAACTAAGACTTGCTGGGTTTGAAGTAAATGTATTGATTATTCCCAGCATCTCCAGACAGCAGGAGCATCTCAGAATCAGAAAGAGCTTTAAGGCAGAGATCGGACCCAGTAACCCATTCATCCCCATTTTCCCAGAACTTCGCTGATTTTAGCACTGAAAGTCCTTCATCCTAGAATCCTTCAGTAATATGAATGGAGAGCTGACATATTTTTTAAAGCTTTTTTGGTGGCCTTATTTTCTCCCTTTCAGTTGTTTTTTCTTTCTTTTCTTTAATTGTATAGCTTATCTCAGACCATTTGGTTCCCAGGTGTATATTGCTGGTTATAGTATTCTTTTATTAAAATAAATATGAAGAGAAAGACTTGATTCGATAGTCTGACATAATAATTCTATTTACTTGTTGAAATCACTTTGGGCCTATGACAAAGACCCATAGACTCGGTGACTTTTAAATCACAAAAATATATTTTGTATCGTGTCAGATGCTAGAAGCCTGAGTTCGGGGTGCCAGACCTGTCTTCTTGTTATAGTCTTACATGGCAGAAAGAGAGTGAGCCAGCTCCAAGGTCTTTTCCTAGAAGGGCCCTGATCCCATTCATGAGAGCTCTAATTACCTACCAGTGTCTCAGCACCCCCACCTCAAATACCATCCCACTGGAAGTTGGGATTTCAACATATAAATTTTGGGGGGTACATAGACATGCAGTCCATAACAATATACTTTTATTAATGATTTATTTTCTTGTATTCATAGAATAAAGGGTTTGTAAATTATTACGGACCACAGAGATTTGGGATGGGAAGGAAAGTCCACACCGACCAGGTTGGATTGGCTTTGCTGAAGAGTGAAATGGTATGGATTAAAGAAACACTCTGCTCTGATTTGTCTTGTCAGTTGTATTTACTGTGTGACTCAGCCCTTTGCCTTGTTAACCCAGCATATGAATGCATTTATACACACATACGTATACCGTATGCTACATTATTGAACATTTATGAGCTGCTACTATATTCTTAGTATCACATTATAATAAAGCAAACTGTATGTGATGTCCCTGTGTTTAATACTCATTTAAGACTTAACAGAGAATTGATCAGCACTCACCAAATTCTTAATGAAGTGAATGGAGGATTTAGAGGAAACCTAACACCCTACAATTCCAGAAATATGGCATCCAATGATATAAAATTCACGTTTCTAATAGCATTTAAACAAAAGCTCTCCCCTCTTCTCAACTTCATAGTCTGTGCTTCTCATTTTTCTTTGACTTTGCTAGAGCATTAGCTGTCAGTTGTTGCTGTGTAGCAAACTACTCCCGAACTGTGTGGCCTAGAAAGATGAGCATTTGTTTTCTCACTGCCTCTGAGGGTCAGGCATCTGGGAGCAGCCTGGCTGGGTGCTTTTTGCATCAGGGTCTCTTATGGTGTGCAGTCAGCCAGGGTTACAGTCTTTGAAGACTTGACTGGGCAAAGAGGACCTCCTTCCAGGCACACTCTCATGGCTTTTGGCAGGAAGCACTAGTTTCTCACCCTGGGGCTACGCATGGCATGACTTGCCCAAGAGAAAGGAGTCCAGGAGCACTAAAGAGTGAGAGAGAGAGAGATAGAGAGACCCCAACATAAATCGCGGTGTCTTTTATAACATAATCTTGGAAGTGACATCATCACTTCTGCTCTGTGCCATATTTTCTTTCCTTGAAAGTATCTTCTCCCCACCCTTTTCATTCTTTACATCTCAATTTAAGTCTCATCCCGCTCCTGAGAAAAATGAATTCTTCTGATCTTGTGACTTCAAAGCCTTTTGGACTTCCCAATTTAGGTTTTATTATATTTTACTGTTAATGTTTATTTAATCTTTTCCAGTTAAACAAAACACTATGTCTCTCTTGCTCAACACTCCATCCCTGGTACTCTGCATAGTGCCTAGCACATCACAGATATTTAGTAATATTTATTTGAATAATTTAGCTTCTTAACATATATTTATTTGAATGGATGAATGAGTACTGTAAAATAAGACTGGGATTTTAGGTTGATTCTACTCTAAAACATATATTTAGGAATCACCATGCTGGAGACAGTATAATAATCATAGTAAAATACATGACCTCATAGATACCATTAAAAAAAAGGAACATCTTTTAATCTATTTAGTTTTCAAAAGAAAATATTAAAGTTGGCAATTAAAAAATATTTTGGCAATTATTTGAAAGACCACAAGCATTCCAAGACTTGAAAACTGGAATGAAATTAGTGGTACACCGTTCTCCTTTGCTTGTTGCCTCCTCTGTTTTTGTTGTATATGTAGGTCGAGTCTGAGTTGTATGTCATTACTTCACACTTGGCAGTCATAACTCAGTAGTGGAGGTAAGGAATGACAAGTGGAATATGGAAGTGATGGGAAGCACTTTTTCCAGTCCAGAATATTTTAAACCTGTGTGTAAAGTTGCTTTCTAAAGATTTATTTTCAAATTTAACACTGTTTAATTTTTGAAAGCTTGAAGATAAAATTGCAGCATCATATATCATTGGTTAAGTGCCTATTCTATTATGATGCCAGATAATTTGTATCTTTTTTTTAAAAAAGTCACTGATTTGGAGGCACCAGGGTGGCTCAGTCAGTTAAGCATCTAACTCTTGATTTTGGCTTTGATTATGATCTCACAGTTCATGAGTTTGAGACCTGCAGGTCTGTGCTACAATGTGGAACCTGTTTAGGATTCTCTCTCTCCCCCTCTCTCTCTGCCCCTCACTGCTTGTGCTTTATCTCTCAAAAATAAATAAACATTTAAAAAAAGTAAGTGATTTGTCATTTTCATTTAAATTATGTTTACTTGTTTGATTTTTAAAGGTGGAGGCTGTAAAATTGTTTCTTACACCAGAAGATCTGGATGATCCTGTAAATAGAGCAAAGAAATATTTTCTTCAAACTGGTATTTAAAAGTTTCTTTACCCCATACATAGCCATGCAAATCAATAATATAAATTTATGTCAGCAGGAGTGCATTCATTGCAACATAAACGTGATAGGAAATAGATTGTAATATATATTTAATAATTTTATTACATGCCTAAGACACTTTAGTTTGGGCCAAATATCCAGGACTTTGGTCTGTTTTAACTCTTGCGGGGGCGGGAGGGTAGGAATAAGGGGAGAAATAGCTTCTTAGTTTTTCTTGGTCTATACCCTCAGAGGAGATAAGAATTTCAAATTCTAAACTGGTGCTGATGGAAGCTACACTACAACTAGGGGAGACTGAAAAGCAAACTACATAAAAGTATTATTTGTTATATCCAATACTTTGTGCATTGTTTTTGACTTCGTTGCCATTTAGCCCTGTCAATTTTGACACTTTAGCTCAATATGATGGTTTATAATGCAGAATGCTTAATGAGAAGCACTAAAGAAAAATGGTTATGAGTATGGGTTCTAGAGTCAATCTACATTCACTTTGACTCTCAAACGACGTATGTGTTTGTATCTATTTAGAGTCCCGAAAACATAATGTCCTTATGGCAATGATTCTCAAAGTTTAGTGTGCATAAGAAACACCTGGCACATTACTAAAATGAGGATTACTACCCGAATAAGCATCTTTACAGTAGAGTCCTTCAATTTAATTTTAAAAAGCATCCCATTAGCAAGGCCTGTTAGCATACTTGAAGGATCCGACCCTTTCTTATTCCAAAGATTCTATATAAATGTTCATTATAGCTCTTTAAAAATGTATAGGCTCACAGGTTTATTTCATGCCTTTTTTTAAAGAAGTCCTTTGAATAATTGCAAGTTAGTTCATTTCCATTCTGAAGTAGGTATTATGAATGTGCTTTTGCTATTTTTTTTTTTAAGCAGGGAAAGTGAATGGAGTATGGACTATATGATTAATGACCTTTATTAAACAAACAAACTCTTCAGGTATAGCTAGGTTTATAGTTAGTAATAAGCATCATCTTCATTTTCAAGTTGATAAGACTGCATAGTTCATTGCCTTTCATTTAGAGGCATAATAAAGGTCTAACTGGCCTTTGAAGGAAAGTGGTTGACTCACTGATTTTCTCTTTATTTCAGAGGATGCGAAAGGCACTCTTTCATTGATGCCTGAATTCAAAGTCCGAGAGAGAGCATTGTTGGAGTCCTTGCATCGCTTTGGCATGACGGAGGAGGGTTGTATCCAAGCGTGGTTCTCTTTTCCTCATTCTATGCGCATATTCTACATTCATGCATATAGTAGTAAAATTTGGAACGAGGCAGTATCCTACAGACTTGCAACGTATGGGTCGCGAGTAGTCGAGGGCGATTTGGTCTGTTTGGGTGAAGATGTTGACGATGAACATTTCTCAAATAGTAAAGTAAGTATCATTTCATCACAGTTTTCAAACAGTAGTCACCATGCTAACATTACAGAAGCTCCTTTTTAGAAATAATTTAACACTAAAAACACATTTTATTTTTTCACTTGTATTTACTTATCTTTTGCGTCTATGCTGTTAACTAAGGCTTAACACGTCTGTAAACAGAAAAATAAACATAGTCAGTGGTATTAAGTGAAAGATAGAAACATAGTAAACCTTCCTTTAAAGACCAGGTTAAAAAATTACAGAAGTATTGCACAAAATAGTGCCATTAGAAGTGAAAATGGAAACATTAACATATGAAGCTGTCATCTTGCCACCACTCCTATTGTATGTCTAGGACATCAACCTCTGTTTTTTTCGTGTATGTCCTTCTAGACCTTTTTCTATGCTTTTACATAAATATCCATAGAAAAGTGTATTTTTATTCTGTTAGCTAACATGAAGAAAAGCAAAGACAGGGCTTAGGAGCTCAGAACTTAAAATATATTAAAAAAATACAATTTTTATAATAATGGTATATGGGGTGTATAATGTTGGATGTATTTTATATAAATGTGATTTTATATCATTGCAATTTTACAACTTGCTTTTTTTTATACATTATTATTTATATTATAAAAGTTGCTCCTTCCATTTCTTCTCTGTCCAACTAAGTATTTTTATCTTTGTGGGCTTGAACAGTTAAAATAATGGACCTGAATTCCATAAACCAAGTAAAGAAATGTATTTTATAATATAATGCAAAAAGAACTTTATCTCAAGGTAGTCTCACAAATACGTTATAAAAGTTAATCAAAGTATTTTGAGTAGTGCTTTCACATGTAACATCATAAAATCATTGAATTTTAGATGAGAGAAGGATTTTAGAGACTCTCTTTCCTAACTCCCATTTTATAGAAATGAAAATCAAGACCCAGATTGGAGAGGAGACAGTTAAGGGACACAGGTAGCAGAATTAAAAAGACCCTAGCCTGAATTGGTCGTAACAGAAAAATCATGGAGATAGAACATGACCGAGTTCTTCAAAAATGAAGAAAAATAGAAAAATAGACTGAACTCTACATAAAGGAAGCTTTATCTAAATTAATGGCAGATTCTGGATGTATAAATTAAGGCTTTTGTTTATTTTGTTTTTGGTTTAAGTAATGGAGATCCACCTCAAACTAACTTAAGGCAAAGCAGACAGGAATTCATTGGCCCTCATAACCAAGGCACTGATTGATTCAGGCACAGCTCTATCCAGAGGTTAAGCAGTCTCTTAAATAGTCTCTCTTATTTTCTCCATCTTTCAGCTCTGCTTTCCTATGTTAGAGCTGATCTGAGTCTGGCTTGTTCTTTTAGTGGCAAGATGGTCATGAGCGTCTCTAAACTTATTTCTTGTATCTAAGTGATGACTCATGGGAATCTACTCCCGAAGCCAGGAGCACACTGCATACTCTGTATGTTAGCTAACTTGACAATAAATTATATTAAAAACAAAAACAAACCCAGATTAGTGTGACTGCAAAACAAACAAACAAACAAACAGAAAACCAACTTGTAGAGAAGAGGACTTTTCTTCCCCATGGAATAAAAGCCATGGAATTAAGTCTCTCTGGCTAGGAGTGACTGGGCTTGAGCCCCATATCCAGGTCCAAACCAATTATTGTGGACTGGAGTATGTCACTGGGTAAGCCTATGTTCCCAAGGATCCTTCCTGGAACCACCTAATGCAAATCACATTTGAGACCTGGGAGAGGAGCTCCCTGAAAATGAGGTGCTAGAGAGGGAATGAGGGAAAAGAGACAACAAAGGCTGAAGTAGCCAGAACAACGGATGTCTGCTTCACTGTTTCATTGAATGAGTGGCTTGTAGATATTCAGTTAAGAAAGGGATCACTAGGAGCATAAATCACTAAGAATGGTCATTTAACTGAGACTACATCTGAAACTGTGTAAAAGGAAATCTAATAGCATTATAGGTTTTACTTTACCTCATGTGAGTGGGGACCCTGTTCACCCTTGTTTAATGATGACAGTTGCCTTTGTACCTGAGTTTCATATGCCAGAGAAATCAGAATTACTTATTCTGTAGTGATTGTAGCAGCATTTCTCAGACTTACAACACACCTCTTCCCCCCCCCCCCCCTTCTATACTGTTCTATGAAACATGCTTTGAGAAACACCACTTCTCAGAGAGTGTTGTAGTATTTGTTGGGGACAGAGGTGGCGGGATGGGGGGCGGCGGAGCGGTTTTCATAGAGGAGGATTTTTGATTCAGCATAACAACTTTGTAATTAGGAAAAGTTGGTGATGAGGTGAAAGTATCAGCTTGGAGTGTTAAGCTACCTCCCTTCTCTGTGTTCCAACTTGACTTATTAGTGGTTAAAGCAGGAAGTATTGTTCTAATTTTTACGTAGTCTAGAAACAAATTGCCAACATACTATTGTTTGAGTATATGTATATTCAACATAAAAGTCAAATTATACATAACGGGAAAATTGAAGGAATGAATCATCCATATTTTTGTCATGTTTTTTAAAAAATAGGTTCATCTAGTAACTGAAGAAGAGGAATCAGCCAACACATATGCAATACATCAGGTAAATTTGCTTAAAAATTGGATTCACTTTGGTCTAAATGTAGATATTGTGTCCAAAAGACAAGTTATATACAACAAAATTCATTCTTCTCAGTTTATAATTCTAAGAGTTTTGATAAACACATTCAGGTTTAATGACTACCACAAAAATCAAGATAAAGTAACATTTTCATCTCTCCTAAAATTTCCCTGTCCCCCTTTTAGTCAACCTGTACCCCCAGTCCCCAGCAGCAACTTGTCCATTTTCTGTCCCTTTAGTTTTGCCTTTGGAAGAATGTCAAATGGAATCATATAGTATGTAACCTTTTGTGTCTAGTCTCTTTCAATTAGCATAATGAATTTGAAATCCATTCATGTTGTGTGTACTTGAATTTTTTTACCTTGTTCCTTTTTCTGACTACCTTTTGGTACTGTTCAAGAAAAACGTCTAGAAATCACCAGCAAAGGAGGAGAGCCCTACAAAAGGCATAAGTAGCTGTATTTGCTGCTAGTGGTTCGCTCTCATGTTTTTTAAATAAGTAAGAAGAATGTAACATAATCAGCCAAAATACCAGTTATATCATTGAGCAGTAGGGATTTTTCTTTGTGTTACAGAAACAATACGCTTTTAGGATTGTATGACTACATTGAGATTAAATCTTTGCCGGCTAATTAAATGTACCAAAACTTATTGTTTCCTCTCTTCCGCATTAACGGTAGTTTGTCTAGTAATGTCTGACTTGAGTTGTTTACCTTGGTTATTGTGAGTCCTTCTTGATTTTAGTTAGCTCTCTGCCTGGTAGCATTTAAAATAATCAAAATCGTGTAGTTCTCAATAGCATGTTTTAGGCTGATGGTGTTGTTTATATCCTGAGACATAATGATCATTATATCAAGGGTTATTTTATATACTGAATCTCAGTGTTACAATGATCATATATTTTTCTGAAGACTGTTTCATCTATTTTTTTTTCCCCTTCTGCACAGGTGGTTCTTCCAGTGCTTGGCTACAACATTCAATACCCAAAAAACAAAGTAGGGCAGTGGTACCAGGAAATACTTAGCAGAGATGGACTACAGACATGTAGGTTTAGATTACCTACTCTAAAACTGAATGTTCCAGGATGCTACAGACAGATACTGAAATGTCCCCACAATGTCTCATACCAACTAATGGAAGAACATGATACTGATGACAAAATGGAAGGTTCCCACATTGATGAAACAACTTTATCTCTTTTGATCTCTTTTGATCTTGATGCTTCATGTTATGCTACAGTCTGTCTGAGGGAGATAATGAAGCATGACTTTTAGAACCATTACCCTTGATCTAATCATACATGTCATTCTTTAAAAGAGAGGGAGCTAAATCTTCTTGAGCATCTACATTTGCCAGGAGCTTTATAATTGTTATCTCCTGTAATTACAACAAAACGTCCGAGGAAGCTGGAATTTGATGCTGTGGTTCCAGAGGACATAGAGCCAGTAAGTGGCAGGGTCTGAATTTAAGACACCAAAGCCTATGGTCTTTCTATGATCTAATGTTTCAGCAGTCTTTATTCTGTGCTATAAAATATATAGTCTTTCTGGACTATTCAGAGGATACAATACTTACATTTTCTTAACATGTAAGAAAAACATGTTTGGAGTAATGTTGCTGTCCTCTAGCTCTTTGCTTAGAATGTATATGAAACAAGGTTGTAATGAAAGCATATGGTTGGAGAGAAAGTTTATGTTAATGAAACATTTTGTTAATTATTATTGTCTTTCTCCACTTTTTGAAATTATTGATCAGACTAATACATTAGGGAACTATAATCCTTCTATTTATGGTAGCTATCCCAGGGTAGTTTACCCCTTTATGAGATGAATAGTCTTCAGTGAAGACTGAAATATAATTTTTCATACAATTTCCTTATCTCGATACTCATAGATTGTCTTGACTTTCTGTGTTTTTTTTTTTCTATCTTCAAGAACAGATTTTAGAGTCAGACAGATCTGGGCTCAGCCTCCAGCTCTCACACTTACAAGTGACTTTGGGTATGTTATTGACTCTTTGAGGCTTCCTTAAAGAATCAAGGCAGTGCCAACCTCATAAGCAGCAAGTAATAGGATTGTCTGCACCTTTTATGTTGCTAAAGGAAGAAAACATTCTGCCTATTTGAAAATTGAAATATTGTTTAACTATCCCACATCATAAATTATCCTTAACCACTTTATGTCAGTTAAATATTTGGGGGGGGGCGTTGGTGTATATTGATTGCAAAGGTCTAGCATTCTTTCATTGCTAGTAGTATAATATGATGACATTTAAAAAGCTGTATAGAGCATTATATGATAGTAATATGGCACTATTATATATTTAAGTCAGTTAAACTATTCTGGGTATAGTAGCATAAGGAAATAAAATTCAAAAAATAAAATTCAAAGTAAAATTCAAAATGCAATCCAAAATTTGCTCATTATAACATTTTTATATGAAGTGAAAGAAATTATAAATAGTTTGAAAGTCCAGCAGTAGATAACTAAATAAGATGAGATGTATCAACTTGATGGCAAAACATGAGTTATTAAAAATGATTTAAAATGAAGATAAAAGCTTAGGTATGTGAAAAAATGTTGCTTCTCAAAACCAGAACATAGACATTACAAATCCAGTATAAACACTGAATGCAGCTCTTACAAAGAGGCACTTTAGCATAGCGACTGAAAGCACAGTTACTGGGGACAAACTCCCTTAGTTTAAACCTTGCCTCTGCCATGTGGCATGTGGCCTTGGACAAGTTGTTTAAGCTTTGTGTGCTTCGGTTTCAATATCTATAAAATGAGAATGGTAATATACCTCCCTCATAGGATTATTGTGAGGATTTACCAAGTTTATATATGTAAAGCACCTTGGGAAAATAGCTGATACTTAGTTACTGTTAAATAAGCATCCACAGATTCAAGTTTGGAAAGGAAAAGAAAAACATGAAAATAAGTGTTGTTATACATAGTATCTTTTTAAATAGCTTGTGTTTTCAGTAAATTTTTTAAAAGTTTATTTCAGTCATTTTTTTAAAAAGTTTATTTATTTTGAGAGAGAGAATGGGTGAGGGGCAGAGAGAGAGAGAGAGAATTCCAAGCAGGCTCCGTGCTGTCATCACAAAGCACAATATGGGGTTTGAACTCATGAACCGTGAGGTCACAACCTGAGCCAAAGCTGGATGCCTAACCGACAGAGCCACCCAGGTGCTGCTGTTGTCATATATTTTAATAATCAATATAGATCTCAGAACACAAAAATTGGAGGTTGTAGTACCATTGCTTTATTAATTAATTAAAAAATTTTATTTTAGAGTGGGAGCAGGGAGAGGGGCAGAAGGAGAGAGAGAGACATAATTCTAAGCAGCCTCCACACTCAGCATGGAGCCTGACACAGAGCTGATCCCAGGACCCTGGGATCATGACCTGAGCTGAAATCAAGAGCCAGATGCTCAACCAACTGAGCCACCCAGGCGCTCCTACCAATGGTTTTTTAAAAATTACCTTTATTATTTTAATATTTATTGAAAATAAAATGCTACATTAAGTAGTAAAATATTTAGAAAAAATATGTCATTTCATATGATAAATTATCTCCTACAAATGTAATCAGAAAATGAATTATGTAAATTGTGACATTCTAGATGTCTTTTAAATGTTGAACAGCAATTAGAAAACATGAAAGCATTAAGATGTGCCATCATTGATATTATTTCCTTTGCCTGTAGATGGCACTATAATTTTAGGTATCTTTCTTATTTATTTATTTAATTCTTTGGCCATATGTAAAGAAAGAATCTCTGAACCTATTTCAAGTCACCATAAAATGTATTCAGATACTGTTCATGTGGAAAATTATTTCATATGCCTGTAATATTTGACGTTAATTTTTTTTTTCATTTAAGGCCTTGAATGTACTTTAGACCATATGCTGACCAGTCACCTAGGTTTCTGCAGTTTTCCTGAGCATTTCAGGCCTTCAGAAGGATAATCTTTGAATTAGTTTTAATTTTCTAGGTTGCTCTTGAAATTGAGCAAGAGAGTCTCAGAATTACTAAGGTGGAGCAAATTGAGGTCTTTTTATTAAGCTAAAACACGTCGGTGTTTGTGACTTACCCGGAACTTCAAGTCATGTGTAGCTTTTGATTCAAGTAACATTTATTGAGGGTTTGTTGCACTAGCACATCTGCTTTTCTCATTTTAATCCATGGACCCAACCTACAGATATGTGGTACTTTCCCTGATTTTAAAGATGGGAATATATCTGAGTGATTTACTGACCTAGTCAGGGTCACACAAGATAGTATGTGGTTAAACCTGATTATGCTTCATAGATCAGTACTGTTTTTATCTACCTAACATTTGCCTTTTTTTTTTAATTTTTAAGATTTATTTATTATTGAGAGATAGAGCATAGCATGTGAGGGACAGAAAGAAGGGGAGACACAGATTCTGAAGATGTCAGCACACAGCCTGACGTGGAGCTCTGTGCCGAACTCACAAACTGTGAAGTCATGACCTAAGCTGAAGTCGGACGCTCAACCGACTGAGCCACCCAGGCGCCCCTGACATTTGCCTTCTGAAAACAAGTTTTTTGCTGATGACTTCCTTTTCTACCTATTCAGGATTACTTGCCACTGATTAATAGACATACTGGAGCATGTTTCGAGAGAAATAAGATTCCTTTTGAGATTATGAGTCTAAAATAAAAGTAAAGGAGACCCTTCAGGAAATTCCCAGATCATTTTGGGTTATTTTCCAGAATATTTTGGGACTTGTATCACAATGATAGACAAAATTATTATAGGTTATAGGAGGTTATTTTAGATGGTACCTGAAACAATAGTAATATCATTGAAAAAGCATGGTGAGAGAGTTGCTTCTTTTTTTAGAAAATCTTCTGAAACACTGACAACAGTGTGTAGCACCTAGTAAATTCTCAATGCCAGCTAGTGTTATGATAGTTAATATTTCATTACTGTGCTGATGAAAGTTTTACAGTGGAATGGTTAATGACTTCCCCTAGAGATCTGATCTGCCTCTGTCTTTGCATAAAGTAATTATAATTCAGCACACTTTTAGATTTACTTATTTTTTTGCAAGCAGAAAAAACTTTCTAAATCTGGGAATTCAGGAATTCATTCAAATTAAGATTTTTAAGAACTATCTAGGTCAGGATTTTCAATATTTCCCACCTGGGAACCACCTTAGGAAACAAAAACAAACAAACAAAAAATGAAGCCCCAGGTTAATAGTACAGATTGTGCATGTTATTTTGTATTAACATAGGGATAGAAGAAGAGGCTGCAGAAAGATACTGGAGTAAGGATAATTGGACTTTTCATTTTTTTTCTCTATTTACCTCTGAAGTGTTTGGGTTTTTGAATAAGAATATATTTGTATATTAAATTTACAGTTTAAAACCCTTGAAGAATATTTACAGCTTAGAGAAGGGAATGGAATTGGTGGATTATAAATGCATTATTTTCAGAATGGTTCTTCTGGTGGCTCATACCAACATACTGCCAGAGAGAAATTTGCATTATTTGTTTTAATGGCACTAAAGACAGTTAATATAGTTTAAAGTTTAGTGCCTATACTGTGGATTTTGCTTTCCAATTCAGAAAAGTTCTTAGAGACAGCTCGATGTCTTATGGTATTGTGTTAGCCTATTTTTCCTAAGCCCTTCTGCTTTACCTATTTTTGATAGGCCAGCAAGCAGTGCCAAGTGCCTGACATAATAACCAACAGATATTTGAGTGTCCCTAAGTTAAAGGCACTCTGTCACTATGGGGAAAGACAAAAATAAGTCAGATAATATCTCTGCCTTTGAGGGATTAACAGTGGTATATCCTTTAAGATATCATTTGATTTGAAATGTCATCTGTGAAAAAGAATATGTAGACTAAATGGCAAGGAAAAAAAAACCAAGCAGCATCTTTCCATTTCATGTATGGCTCACTGTACGGCCAATAATATGTTACGTGACCTCTCAGCACCTCAGTCTGAATCCTTACATGATACTTATATTAGCATTTCTAAGCATTTTGAGATCTCCTCTTAAAATATGCTTTGAACTATTCAGTCCAAATGCTGCTTTCTGGAAAGCTACTACTTTAAAGAATGGGAAATGGTGTTAATGGAGTTAATCTTGTGTAATTTCAGTGTGGGTTGTCAGGAATATCTTGAAGTAAAGAAAATGACTCTAATCTTCTTAAGCAATTCATTTTCTCAGCCGCTGTGAGGCGGGAGCTAATTTACTCGGCTTGTGTACATAGACCCTGTCTGATTAAAGAAAAATTTTACTCATGGAAGGAAGCCAGGACATCCCTGAAATTATTTAAATTTAGATATATTAGAAATACTATAAAATATATTAAATTGTCTTTTTCATTATCCATTTCCTTAATACCCAACTCAGTTACCAAAGTAGAAATGAAATCCCTGTTGCAAGGTAGAAATTTAATTACGGAGTCAAAACAAGAGCTATTTAGTTGGTTTTAAAGAGAAGAGATCAAAGAACTGGTCACTCTTTTACTGAGCACATTCGAGCTGCAGGATGGGGGTAGGGAGTGGAGAGGGTTAGGGATTCAGTTCTTGATTCTTTTATTCCAAGTCACCCTTTTCTGATGAGCCTCACTGACATTCTCTTAGACTAGTTAGGTCAAGATTCTGTACTTTTCACTACAATAGGGTTTTAATCTTAGCTGATTATTGTTTCCACCCCCACTCCTAGTCATAAAGGACTAGTGTTTAAAACAAAAAAAAAAAAGATGATGAAGACTATTTCTATAATAAAAAAACCTTTATACGTTTTTTAGGGTTTAGTACAATGGAGTTTTTTTGCACCTGATTTTCAAAAGGGAATTCATTTAGGTTGCATTTTTTTCAATAA